AGGAGGCACTTCACTTTCTTTTTGGCATATCTTGCTTTCTTCTCACTTGTGGACTCTTTCAGGGAGTCAGGAAGACGTGTTATACACTTCATATTATGTTCAGTTGCCTATCCAAATAAGGTATGAAAATGTTGCCAGCATAATCATCCAATGTGTTGACACAGGCAGGAAGACTGTGGACAATGGTTGCACCATGTAGCACCTCACAGTCATGTGTTGGTGGTTGATCTGGTTGTTCACATGGCTCGGGGCTTTCAAATATCTGAAAGTGAAGGAGGGAATGACTGGTCCACCTAAAGGACAGGAATTTCCTAGAAGTTACAAAGTTTTGCATTGAGATATATAATTGACCATATAGTCATGTTATTCTGTACAAATTTAAGTCTGTAATTTTTCTCAGGATTGATCTTTCTGTTGGCTTTTCTGAAGAGAGCTGAGGAATTCTTCTTGGTAGCAATATGAATTGACACAATGCATCCATGGAAAAGACTATCTAAAGAAACTGCTGGTGTTGCTTCTAGCTTGTCCATCTGAAAATGCTGGGCTTTCAGTCAAATCAAAACCTTGGCCTGTACTTCTCTTTTTACCATATTGTTCTCCTGCTCATGGGCCTGATTGTATGGGATGGCTGAAAACAATTGGCTGTTTCAGAAATGAGCCAGTTTGAAGCATTTTCAGTCCTGCACAGCAGAGACTTAAGGACAGACACCTACCTGGCCTAGTAAATATGGGCCAAGGCAAAGAAAAGGTGCTGCTTGATCCAATGCTTCAACATGAAAGGGAAATACTTTCTCCTTATGGACTCTGATACACAGTAGATGAAGGTTTCAATATTTCATGATCTGATCCTAGAACATGAGTGTTGGCCAGATTCTTATGTAGCCCAAGCCTTTTCTCCAAGAGAAGATGGAAGTTTTATCATTTGAACCTCTATTGATCCAAGATATTGTACAAGGTTAAGTGCAAAATGATAAGCATCACCTACTTGTTCTGAGCCAATGTGAGACCTTCATAGAAAGAAGAGATCTGTTCAGTATCAGGCCTCTAAGAGATGACACCAAGGGTCTTCTGGATTGTAATTTCTGTCTTACCTC